CTTTGGCCTTTGATAGTACCCCACAAAACAACTTTTAAAGTACTTATTTTTGGAGAAAAGAATGTGAATCGAACTGCTTGGGTGGGGATTAGAGGGATTCAGGAAATTAGGCTCTTAAAACACTTTTCTTAAAATATAAAGTAGAGCACCTTATTACAGAACATGCGCATTTGATTAATACCAAACCGACCATTGATGGTGAAATACATTTCATAGAATTTGAAAGACATGCACATAAGGATTCCCTATCATTTTTTTTATATTACGGTGGTTCCTGTTCTTCTTATACTACAGTAGTACTAGTGGTAATTTGGGAGACCTCTCAGCCATTTAGTCAATGCTGATGACTTGGTTGAGTTTTGCACTGGTTTAATGAAGAGAGGGCTTATTGGAGATTCTCCCTGTTTAGACGCTGTATAAGTTAATGAGTATTGTACTTTATGGGAAAGCACTCGGAGCATCTATGTAAATACAGTATGTGTATCAGTTCTGAACATCCAGACGAAGGCCCGCTTGAAGTGAGGTTTTGGTTATTTTTACAAACTGAAGGTGTCATTGTCAGTGTTTTAGCATATGGAATTCAAAATGTTTCTGAGTTTTAGGGAGAGTAAATCTTTTATATATGCGCCCCATCATCCTTTTGACAATAATAGTATATTAGATAGATCCATACATTTAAGAAATATTATTTAAACTGATTAACTTAGTATTTCGTCCAAATATATAGATAAGAAATTAACCAGACACTACTATAAACTGTAATAATAAATATCGTTTATGAAGCCGCTGATGTATAAATCCAATCTCAAATAAAAACTCAAATGAATAGTATGTGTAATAACCTAACCCTTAATGAATACATCACATTCTATATATATTAGGATCAAAAGCAATAATAGGACTATACTGGGACAATAAACAGAGAAGCCTGCTTAGTCAGTTCTTTACATAATATTCTATTCACAAGTTGACCTTGATTATTAGGATAATACCGTTGAATTCTGTCTCATATCTACTTAAAATTCATTATGGATACATGCCAGTGTAGAAACGGAGATATAATTAATTAGTAACGGTTTGAGAATAAGTAATTGTTCTTGTTGTGTTCATCAGGGTCTTTTGATTGCTTAATTTTTATTTTACATTGAATATCAATCAGATCACAGAGTGGGTCATGGCAAACTTAAGGATTCCTTCTCTGGAGTGGCACTGTAACGATCTAACTGCAATTTCTGTGACTTGGAGGAAGTCTCATTGCGCTGTAAAAGTGATCCCTCAATTGTAAACAAACAAGACCAGAGCATAAGCACCAAGGTCTGTCCTGTTTGTTAAAAAGCAGGAGCTGGTGACTTCACTTATGACAGACTGATGTCTCGAAGGCGTTGGTCAAAAAACGTACACACAGCAGTGAGGAGTAGAGGGTAGTGCAACATGATATGATGTACTGTACCAGTCATTCTCTTATAGCGGTCATGCTTATGTGAAGAGCTTTGATTCTTTACACTCATTATTCTTTATTAAATTACATACAGGGGCAGGCGTGTTACTTATAGCATATCTTAAGATGATTTCTGTTTACATAGTAATACTAAATGTCTGATTTCATGGCTCTATTCGATACTTGTTTTGCACCTACTTTTTCATCTGTATTGTTTTTGAAAGAAAAAGGTCAGACATAGCCAAAGAACAAAATAGAAGGAGAGGACATGAGCTAACTTATCACTTGAGTTAACTTATTTTAGCATCAAAATCAGCATGGTTTAGAGTTTATTGAATCAGGATTATTAAGAAATAATCTCATAGCTAGAATTACTCTGTTTACCCCAAAGTCTTAGAGGCCACTCAATCGATATCTGTGAAATAAAGGCATATCATGTTTCAGTGTTGTAAGATTAGTTTAATACTACAGAGGCGCCGGTAACAGACTTACTTCTCCCCAAAGAGATCAGCTTAAAGCACATCCTGGCACTTACAGTCCTTTGAGTAGTTTTCTATTGTCCTGTGAGGCTGGTGGAAGAAAAACAGTCCAGGGAATGTCTTAATCTTTCTGGAAAACTTGACCAATGAGATAAAAAGGGACATCCCAAGGAATTTTAAAAATAATTGACGGAAGGAGCAAAGGAATCGTGAGTGAAAATTTAAAATTTTTAAGACCCTCAGAGTAAACCACAAGGGATCACGTTTAGGTGTAAACAAGGTGACAGTGTAACAGTAACAAAACAACACTGTGGTTTTGGTTAATATCGTTTAGCGAGCCGTTAACTGTGTCCTTAAGTTTAACTGCATGTTAGTAAAATATAGTACAGTAGGTAAGATTTATCAGAAAAAAGTTAAGATCGCATAAAGAATTCATCAGCATGATACCATAAGTGTATAAAAAGCTTTAAGACCTTAAAGTGAACATCGGTTTAAAATCATATTTACCGTGTAGTTTAACTAATTGATACATAAAGTTTAATTATGACTCTTAAGAATATGCTAAGATGTAAGTTTCATTTGTCCAACTCACCCAGTATGAAATACGTTTCAATTCAGTGGTGCAACAAAGGGGTGGGGTGACTCTCACAGTGACATTTGATTCATTAAGTTCTTGTTAGTATTATTTACAATATTGTATTAAGCTTACTATTATAGTAATGGTAGAAACTGTTGATGTTTTTCTTCTCTTGATATGAAAAGGTCTTTATGCATTTATGTAGAATCCCTTTTAAGGAGTGATAGGAAATCCTTATTTTCAATGGATGCACTTAAGCAATTTTACCAACCTGTTTAAATCACACATTGAGCAAGTAATGCATTTGAATGTAAAAAAGAAAAAAGAAAAAAAAAAGACCACTCAACTCAATGCACTCCTTATGCTTATTGTTTTGTCAATTTACAAGTGAGCTTTAAGTTTTTTGTTTGTTTTTTGGAAAGAATTTGCGACAGGTTTTCAACGTAGACTATATTTGAGTTCTTCCACATACATTTATAGAAAGTAACTTAAAATGAATTAAAAAAAAAACATATTACAATTTCTCAAATCTATTTTGCTAACATTGGTTATTATTTCATAGAAAGCAGAGGAAAAAAGTCAGTATCTGGATGTTATTTATGAAAAGTAAAAAAAAAAATGAAGCAACATATTTATGAGTAACCTCAAGACATTTTGTTTTTTAATTAAAATTACAAGAAGTTAATATATTTCTAAACACAGGGAAGTCAGTTTCTACTAATAAGAAAAATGAGAAAATAAGTTTAGAAGTTTTATTTATGAAAGTTATGGACGCTTGCCTTTTCCATATGCTTCATGGTAAATGAAGTAAATGGGACGAGAGTTCCCCATAGCTTAAATTTTAACTTCAGACATGCACAACTTCAACATTGGTGCATTCACAATGGAATAATTACAGAAAATAATATAATATTTTTTAGAATTTGGAGATATTTTAGTCACAGAGCATCAATTTTGTGCCTCAATTATATATTTTTCCTGCATCAGCATTCTTTGTGCAGTGCTGCTTGCTGTAACCCCTTTCCCCCCTTCAACTAACCCCATGTTACTGACTGAAACACATAACCCATTTCCTCTGTAATCTAAACTCGCTTTTACTTATCAAACGTATAAAACATGTTACGACTGCAATGCTTGGAATGAATGAGGCAGCTGTGACCCTCCTGCCAATAGGGCCACACAAAACTTGTACACACTTTCATTCATACATTTTCTACATCTACTACTCAGTTTGGGAACACTAGCAACAGAGCATAATCAGCTTAAAGAAAGCCTTTATGAGAGAATTTCCCTAATGTGTTAATTAGGTGAAGAGTGCAAATCGAGCGGAGGCATCTGGGACAGGACAACAGCGCACTGTGTAGTAGATCTATGTAACTAGATGCACACATATACACACAACAGATTCATTACCGTACTAGTTTGCATGTATGTTGTATGGTCACTTAGACAGGAGGAACGGTGCAGGTTCTGTGTTATCCTTTAACATCAGTACACTTGGGCTGTTTCTCCTCTGTAGATTTTCATAGTTGGAGTCTCTTTGGAAACTGGAAAGTTGACATGAGTTTGGAGCCAGGCAAAGATACCATTTCAGTCCCCACATCAAAGTCCGATTTTGTATTCTGTCACCTGTTAGTGATGAAAGACTGTTTGCACCTCATATGAATTAACTTGAAGTTTGTGTAAGAGTTGATAGGGATCAAAAAAACTTGACAAAAACACTACAATGGCACATTTTCTGCATGTAAAGGATGGGGACTAAAGCGGCGCTCACTGGTGAAACTCGCAACCTTTTCCAAAGAGACGAATACAGTCTGACAGTTTGTCTTTGGTAGCATTTCCAATTTTTCCAGCACAGTAGAGGTGTTTCATACCGGTCTAATAGTGGTCGTAGTGCATTAGTTTTTGGGCCAGGATCACCTGGCGTTAGTTTCTGGTTTCTCTGTGAACAGTGAAAGAGGGTTGCCAATGTGGCCCTCTGAGGCTGACCGTCAACTTTGATGGATGGAATAAAAAAAATAAAAAAAAGTCTTTGAACTCTGTTACAGTATGCCATGCCCTTACAAGGCATGTGATATTGCAGGTTTATTTGTTATAGCACATGTTTTTTTGTGAATTACATTTTTTGGAGACATTTTTATTATTATTATTGTATCTGCGCCATGTTAGTTCTGGTTCTTTGTTATTTTTCCAAGATTCAAGATGTATTGTAAATGTTTCTAATAAAACAAAAATGAAATGATCTCCAATTGAAACAAATTGTTTTTTGTTTGTTTGAAGGGAGAGTCTTTATGGCTAAATTGATCCTTTTAAAATGATGTCTATTTGTGTTTGATCTTAGTTCAGAGGAAAAGTTATTTTGCAGCAAATATTGTTATTTTCTAACAGTGGACATTCAGAATTAAATTATAATATATCCATGTCAATATTCTGTGATCATCTAACCTCATGTCTCATTCAATTAAGCCCTCTACCAGATTCACTAATGAAGAAGCCAGCTATTTGCAGCCTTTTATTGTTTAAAAACATCTTAAAAGAGACATGAGAAGAGGCAGGCTATAACAAATGAGATTTATTTATACATATGCAGTCCAAATATACATATATTAGAATAAATGTTAAAAAAAGCCCTAACCTACACCACCCAGTTTAAGATCTGTGAAGTCAACAGAAGCCAGTGTTGAACACATCAGCAGGATAAACACCATCTGTGTGCATAACCTTTGGATTTAATTAAGCCCCTCCTAACTCTACCATACCATCTCCATCTATTTCTTCATCTATTAAACTATTAAGATACTAACAACCCAATCTTGGCTCCTCAATACAACCCCCTGCCCCCTCCACAGGAAATAAAGACAAGTGAGAGCGAGGGCAGACCTTAGGGAGATCCCAGAAGAGTCCTGTTCCAGTTACATACAGTGTGGAGAGAGACAGAAAGGAGTAGGTGAGCAGGCAGTGGAGGATTTCACTTACAGTAAAACAAGCCATCTCGGGTACATCAGAGACCACAGGAGCAGGGCAGGGCTGAGTGCCCTCACTACCTCATCCCCTGAAACATTATCCATCCATCTATCTATCCATCCCAGCTAGCAGGCAGCAGCAACAGCAGAGGGTTGTCCATGCATTTAAACCCATTAATCTCTCCCACTACACCCAAAGGTTCAGGGCAGGGGTGAAATAGTCATCAGCAGAGCAAATGCTGCTATTCCACCAACATGTGACGCAGTTAACCCATTCACTAGTGATGCAGCTATCCCATTTCATTTAGAGTTAACGCTGTTCAAAGCTTGCAAAAGCATGACTCATCCATAGAGTACCAAGTGTGCACAGAGCAGGAAAGCCTTCAAAACAAACATCAAAAGCAATCAAAAAGAAATTACATGTCACTGTTGGGGGGGGGGTGGGGGGGGGGGTTATTGCTCTGAGTGGTCTGGTGGAACACAACTTGAACCAACCAACGTCGACCAAATTCCAGCATGTGCATTTAAGAAAAGTGACTTAAGCCCTTGCTCCTCCATTAGTGAGGAGTAGTTGCCCTTACAAGTTTCTTCACATAGAGATATTGTTGTGGGCAAACACAAAAGCATCAAAAAGAAACAAAGCTCCCTTCGCTGTGAAGCGAACAGTATGGAATCTAACCAGTATGGAATCTAAGCAACTAGTGTTAAATTGTAAACCCTTTGGCCAATGAGACCTTAGTCTAGTGTTCAATAAATATCGTAAGGGACATTACTTTCTAAATATACATTTAGGGAAAATGGGAATGACAGTGGCGAGGGGATGCAGTTTAGTCTTTTGGATGTGAATTTTTATTGCCAAATATCCTGGAAGTGGGAAACTGAGGGAAAGAATTTACTGGCTTATAAAATAGAGCTTTCAAATGGGAGACAGTTTGCAAAGACAGAAATCGGGATGAGATACAAAAGGGACCTTTTATAATGTGTTAAGTTTTTCTTTAGATTATCAATCAGTTCTGATCATGTACCTCTTAATGCACAGTGCGTCTCAACTGTTTTCTTTCCAGTGATACTAATCCTCCCCCCCTCTTTACTATCTATTCTTCACTGGCCCCCCTCTTCATACTGTATTAAGTTTTCTTAACCAGACATATAAAAAAAATCAACCTCGATACAAGTGTCCTTGTGTGAAATGGTTATCTCTACCTGTCTCTCAATTTCCCTTTTCCATTTGTCTGTCCCTGTTGTCTATCTGGCTGTTTCTCCAATTGCCTGGAGGTGAAGGAGGTCAGTGGTAAGGTCTCAGTTGGACTGGCAGCAGACACCCTTACTGGCTGCGTTTTGAGTGGGCTCAACCGTGATGGGCACTACGTTGGAGGCTGGTGAGAAGTCTGAGTCGCTTCGCCCCGACATCTGCCGCTGTGACACAATGTTGTAGATGGCTGTGATGGAGAGAAGGGTGAAAGGGAATGAATTACGTGTAGATGCCTATAAATCCAGCCAACAGTGGGACATATTGTGATAAGGACAAAAAGCATGGCAAAACTGAACAACAACTGTTCTATCTAGACTCCTGGCAGCAGCGAAGGATTCTTTCCATCCTAAACTGGCACCGTTATGTCATGTGGCAGAACCAAGTCTCATTTTAGACATTCCCCAATGCTACAATATGCAATACATTTTTTATTTAAATTGTAAAACCTAAATAATAATTACATATAATAAATACATATTATACATTGTGGGTTCTGCTTCTGCATGCTCATGCTGGTAACCATACAATACAATAACATTTAACAGACAAGAGCTGTTCAAACACCCAGGTGAACTTCAGTGTGTTTTTTTCATTGCAGTTACCCGTCATCGACATTTTCTTCGTCAATACTTCGATACATTACTGAATGTCATTTACCTAAACTTTAGCTTAGTTGCCTTTGGGGTGGTCAACTTGAGAGAGGAGAGCAGGACTAGTGCAAACACCCCTCTGACTTACTGTTGCATACTGCCGCTTTAACTCTAAACTACAGCCAGATGTGGAACAAAACAGTCCTGAAATAAAAACTGCCTATGAAGCAAGAAGGCTTAAAGGAAAATAAGACTCCTAGTCGACTGTAACGTGACACGTCAGTTGGTGAAACTATGACTCATTACTACAGACCCTACACAGCACCAGCTGCTGTGCCTATATAGACATTAATCCACCAGGATGACCCTATCAGCCTACTAACATCTGAAGAATACATCAAGGATTGACTTATGTTTCAGCAGGATTTGGAAAAACTTGCCCACGCATTTATCTTCAGTCGACTCGACTACTGTAACAGTGTCTTTACAGGTCTCCCTAAAAAAAAATAAATAAATAAAAAAAATCGATGACACAGCTGCAGCTGATTCAGAACTCTGCTGCTCGAGTCCTCACCAAGACCAAAAAAAGAGGATCACATCACTCCAGTTCTGGAGTTCTTTACACTGGCTTCCTGACCGTCAAAGAAAGGATTTTAAAATATTACTGTTTTAAAGCATTGAATGGTTTAGGGCCAAAATACATTTCTGATTTTCACTGACATCGTCTGGGAAAGGCCTGTTTTCTGTCCCCAAGGTCAAAACTAGACATGGAGAGGTCGCCTTTCAGTTTTTATGCACCATATATCTGGAATAAACTCCAAGCTGAATCTCTCAGTTCTTTTAAATCCAGGTTGAAGACGTTTCTTTTTGCCACTTCCTTTTATTAACTCAAATTTAAGGCTTTTGATTAATATCTTAAACTGTACTGTAACTTTTACTCTCTGATTTGATCTTGTTTTTGTTTTCTATTAAACTCTTTTTAATTGTATATAAATGTGTTTTTATATTTACGTATCTTTAATGTTTTATGTAAAGCACTTTGAATTGCTTTGTTGTTGAAATGCGCTATACAAATAAACTTGCCTTACGATTTGTCTGCAGCTGATCTACACATGTGGCGTCTTCTCTGCTCCACTGGGTCTAAAGCTCTGTTCTTACAGGCCTGCTAATGCACTGCTAACTTCCTCTCTTTTCCTCCCTTAATGAGCTAATTAGCTACGTTAGCTCAATAGGCCTTGTTGGTTTGAAGTTTTTATGAATTACAAAGTACTGATAAAGCTGTGGTGTGGGCAGAATGGCTCAAACGGCTCAAGCAGAGGCGTCTGGGAATTGAACATGGAGAATACAAACAGCACATGCTTGCAGACTGATAGCCCCTGGAGCAATTGAAGTGGCAGCACCACTCACTGTTGGATTGTCCCTTTAGGCACTCCAGGAGTTGACTCAGTCACAACAATTGCTTTTTTTCTCCATGTTACCAAATCTCCAACATCAAATGCACGTGTTTGTGTGGCTTTATGCCTCCTGAGGAAACTGTTCATAGACATTTACTTAAGAAAGCACATCTGTACACCAGTATCAGAATTCATTCTTGAACAGATGCATCTTGTACAGTGGGTTAAAGTGGATTTGTGACTACAAACAAAGACCTATTCTTAGTGATTTGCTGGCGAGTGGCTATCTTCATGGCACCTCTCACCAGGACTGATTGTCTGAGTAGTCTTTCTGTGTTCCAATTACCCATGCTTTTGACCTTAAAAACAAGATTCAGGTGGTATTCTTGCCACAGACTGCACATCAGTAATGGGCATGGAGAACTGATAGGATGGATTTTGCTGCCATCTAGTGGCAGAAGTTGGGTGTTGTTATGTAAACCATACAATTCTTGATGAAAATGTTAACACTTTTGTATCAATTAACAGTATATATAAAGCATTATCATTCGGAATAGGAGCTTAGACATCAGTGTCCTTCAGAATCAAATGCATGTTTATTCTATTATTTGATATAAATACAAAAAATGGCGAGAAATATACACGAATGGGAAACTTACCTGTGAGAATAGTCTGAAAAGCCAGCTCCACATTAGAGGAGTCTAACGCTGATGTCTCCAGGAAAGACAAGCCATGCTTCTCTGTAAAACACACATGCACACATAATGCCAAAAGCACATAAAGTCTTGCATTATTTTCCACTTTCATAACTATACTGAGCTAAGGTGTACTGTGCTGTTTTTCTGTACTGGCATTAACACTGCACTGATTTAGGGATTGACTTCTTCTGCATAATGCACTCACTCCAGAGTTCTCCCTAGAAATGCAGTCATTTCAACCGCTTCCTGTTTGACTGCTCACTGTGAACTGCTCTGTAATTATAGAAAATGTAATGGGTTATGTGACACCTGACTGTTCTGCTCAGTAACGTAGATTTAGAATCTGATTAAATGTAATGATGTTGCTCACAAAGACAGAGTAAAACATATAATGATTTACATTCTTAATAACAAATCTTCTGTAAGTAAATCTGTAGGCAAAGAATATGGTCTGCCAGGATGTACACTTTCCATTTTAAAATGTTATACTACTGTATTGCATATATAAACTAAGGCACAACTAATCTGTAATTTCAATAAAATAGTAAGTTTACTGTTTACTCTATAATAATTCCCTTTTCACAGCAGACATTTAAACCTCAAAGCTCAGGTGTTACTATTAACGCTGACTTTGTTTCATTCATGTGTCCCAGTAAGTCGTGAGAGTGTGACAATGATCCAGCATGCATAATACAAAGACCCTGAAACTGAAGCAGCTAAATGGAATTCAGCCATCATTCATTTTTAACAATTATGATGCTTTTCGTACTGCGACATGTATGACATGGAACATTTGTGGAGATGTAACCAGCAAATATTTGGTGCTTTTAATTACAGATTCAATTGGTTAATTAATTGATTAGTCGATCGACTGAATATTAATCGGCTATTTTGATAAATCGATTAAGACTGTTTAAGTCAGTATTCAAGCAAAAATGCTGACCACGTGCTGCTTTTCCCTACCTTAACATTACAGTAAACTGAATAAGTTTTGGTTTTTGACTGTTGGTTAGACAAGACATTTGATAACATCACTATCCATTATGAAAACTGAAATCGATACATTAATCAAATAGGTCATATGTCAAGTGATTTATTGGTTAATCTTTTTTTTTTTTTTTTATTAAAATTTTAATTGGTTAATTTCCGCACTTATCATATATCACTGCCATTTTTCTTGATTTGTTCCTTCATTGTAATTTGTACATAATAACAATTACATAACAACTAAAATGAAATTTTGTATAAAATTATTACCATCATAGTTAAGGGGATAATAATGTCACACAGTAGTGCAAATGACACATCAGATTGGTACACTGTTGCTGTTGTGTTGTTGAGGAGAATCTTCAGCATTAAAATACACTTTGCATGGACGTGTCAGCCACATGGTCTTTACGTAAATGAGGTAGCATAAATTAGGCGAGTGGTATATAAAAACAATAAGTTGAAACAGGAAGCACTTATAGGTAAAAACATTATTTATCTAGCAACGACAATTAATTTCCTCACTCTAATATGGATGAACAGGGCCTTATATGTTTGACTTTCTTACAGGCAGTCCTATCAAGTGTCATTTACAAATCAAAGCAGGGGCAACACTCAGACACAAGCCAATAAACTCGAGGTCAAGAGTGAACACGCGGTCAAACCACTCTTAGGTTAGTGTCAAATAGTTGTCAAAAAGTGAACTAAAAGGCTGAAAAATAAAAATAAACTTGGTCCGAAACAAAGCTGTCGAGATATTTGGAAGTTTTAATTAAATTCGTCAAATCATAGAGCCCCCCCGCGACCCTGTACGGAGGATAAGCGGTTGACGATGGATGGATGGATGGATCATAGAACCTAGCCTATACAGGCTAATAACTAACTGTGTGTGCTCATACAATGCACACACAATGCCTTCACTGAGACCATACCTGCAAAGGCCTTGGCCTCATCTGTGGGTACCGCCCTTAGGTGGCGTAGATCACTTTTGTTGCCCACTAGCATGATGACTATGTTGCTGTCAGCGTGGTCCTGCAGTTCCTTCAGCCAGCGCTCAGCATTTTCATATGTCAGGTGCTTGGCAATGTCATAAACCAAGAGAGCTCCAACTGCTCCACGGTAGTACCTGGACAAGATGAGAGGGAATGGACATAATATAAACTGGAGTCAAGTTTTTCTCGTCACAGCCTGTTGATTTTATAATTCCTTGTGGGTGTGTTATATGGGCTGAGTAGAACAGTGAACACAGTGGTAGAAACTGAGAAACACTAGAAATAAAACAGTAGAGCCAAAATATATGAGCTTTGTGTGCACATATAAACAGTTACAAATGTTGACATGGGAAATTAACCAAGAGATAAGTAGGAAGCTGTGATTAACTAAACACTTCCTCCCCCAAGCAAAAAGGTTAATTTAGTAGCCTTAATCACTTCCAAATATCTCTTTCTAACTATTTTAGGATTGACAAAGCAGTAATTGATTGAATCTAAATGTAAGTCATGGATGGCCCTTGGTTGGAAGTTATAGTGCTTGCACTATAATGCCAGCCATTTATAATGCAGCCAAACTTCATGTGACTGTGAATCATGTTTTGACAAAAAGAAAAATGGTACTATGCGATTGAGTGAGGAAGGAAAAGAGGTGCTTTGAAGTTCCTGTGCTTAGAATGTAAGAACATGCTCGTTTTAACCAGTGCGTGTGGAACTGTGGAACTGCAGGTGTGCTGGACTTAAAAAGACCCGCTACTGTCTTCAAAGGAGCATGTATTTCTGTAAAGTGGGTGTCTCTGCTTTTGTGTGGAAGTGTGATCATGGTTCCACAAAAGCTTAAATGCTGTACTCACGCAGAAGTGATTGCACGGTATCGCTCCTGTCCAGCTGTGTCCCAGATCTGAGCCTTGACGGTCTTGCCTTCTACCTGGATGCTACGGGTGGCAAACTCCACCCCGATGGTGCTCTTGCTCTCCAGGTTGAACTCATTCCGGGTGAAACGAGACAGCAGGTTACTCTTCCCTACACCTGAATCTCCGATCAGCACCACTACAGGGAAAAGAAGGGGATTTTTAGCCAAAGACAGAGGAATCATCAGTACGGTCACATGTTGTCTTGTAGACAATCTGCAAAATAAATGTTTTTTTTTTTCCTTTTTTAAATTGAACTCTTTTCACTGATGAGTACAACACAATCTCATTTGCAAGAATGAAAAATACAAATGGAGAATAGACTACACATACATGTGTTTGTGTTTGAGCAGCACAGCTTAAATTATGGCTGCAGCTGTAAAGGCAAATTCATTGTAGACCTTTGGTGCAACCGTCCATTAAAACAAAGAGAAGAAACTGAACAAGAAGCATTTTAAATACATTTTTAATCCTCATTACTATTAGATAGCCTGCCTCGCCTGTGACACACTTGTGCTGCTCCCAGTCGCGGTAGAGCAGAAATTCAGGGGACTCCCATTGAGTATACAAACTTTTAGAACCATTAGAACCACCTGCTCTTTTCAGGAAATACATGCAGACTGAGCACATTAATGTTGGTTAAAGCGGTTATCCACTGCAGATTTCACCAATCAAATTCACTTCAGACATGACAGGATTTGACTGAAGGGAAGTTAAATGTTTGTTTTTTTTCCCCTCTAGAGAACTGAGAAGTACATTATATCACAATGTCAAATCAATTTGTATAAATAACTTGTCCTGCTGTTTTAAGTGTATAGAATCTAAATATTTACTGCAAAAAAAATGTTTAGACATCTGCTACTAAAACTGAGCGCTCACTCTAGTCTCAGACAACTCTGCTGAAGTCTGTGCAAATGCCAAGCACAAAATGCAGTGGGGCCTTAAGTTATAGCTAAACCTTCCTCCAAACTGCTTTAGTTAACAGGGCCACAATTTTACACTTCCCAAACAAAGCATAAAAATCCATCAAATCTGCTAACACCTCTAATGATGACTACACTTGGAAAAATGCCTATGAGTTTTCACTAAGAAGGGGTGAGAGAAGTAAATGACTACATTTGCAATTTAGAGTGAGCTATTCTATTAATGCTTAGTGTGTGATTATGATGACAAAAACAGATGCTTAAATCGGATTACTCTACTGGATCTTCTCCTAAAATGTACTTAAACAGATTTTATTAGGGCGAGTGTTTGAAAGAAACCTACTTCCACAATTATCAGGTGAGTCAGTCTGTCAGAAGGAACCTACCACACCAGCACACCACCCCTCTATTAGGAAATAGGAACTTGTTAAAGAATGTGGAAACTGCATTAACAAACCGATCACAGTGTCTACACATGCATTTAAGCAACGCTGCTCACTCTTAACGCAAACTGCATAAAGTGTCTCAGTGTTCCTATGGTGTAACAGAAACAAGTAGAAACCTGTCCACATTAAGGCCTGGCTTTGAAACAATCAAAATACCTTGAACCTATGGGGACTGTACATCCTAACAGTGTGGTTCTCCTACATGCCAAAAAGGTAACTATGAATGACAGTATTACCCTCCATTTCATCTAACACAAAAGATCTTGGGCAGAACACAAAAACCATTATGCAACCATTTCCAGATCCTCTGCCATCAGACAGGTATTATCACGGCTGCATTACACACCCATTCACTAACCTATTGTTGGGGTTGCATTCTTCAGCTAAAAAGATATGACACCTCTCTATTATATTATACAACCCTGCATCCAGTGATGTAGCCTAGCCTATGACTGTCTGAATGCAGAAATGAAGAATGAAACTAAATAATACTGACAATCAGAGCCCAGTTCAGTGAGCTTAATTGATATACTGATACCTCCAGAATACCTATCAATAGAACAAAAGCTCACCATCTTATGTCCAATTCCATCATTTCCATTTATGTTAAACTAAAGCAGTTTATAAAGCTGGTTAAGGCTGGTAAACTCCTTATATTTGAGCAGGATTATTTTCTCATCAGCACTGATTGTATGGCATCTAAATGCATCAATAAATATATTTGTATATCAGGCAGTTGTCTTTAACATAATTCACTCAGTTGGGTAATGGAATCAATGCGCTTTTAACCTAAGCGATGTAATGGGAAAACGACCAGAAGTGAAGCAGTTAGGATGACAAAAGTTTCTAAACAAAAGCCAGTATTGAGGCTCATACACAGCACTAACATTACAATAAGCAGTACATGGGCAGAAGTATGGCTTCAGCAGGACAGCAGGATGACTTCCTGCGCTGATGTCTCCACCAATAGGGAAAGGTTTATGTGACTCACTAAGAGCTCACCCAACTTGACTCATGCTATCCAACAGCGAGGGACAAAAGGAGGCTATAACAATGTTAGCCCTTTCCTGGTTTAAGCAAAAGACTGAATGGCAGCCGATACCTTATCAGTGTCCTTGCACCGCTGCACATGATTCTGATAACTTTGCTATTTGGTCGCCAGAAATCATGTAATTGTGAGTAAATCTCATCTTCTTTATGCTAGGGACAGAGCTTCGCTGTGGCTACACACACACACTTCATGCAGGTATTTCCAGTTTGACAGCATGAGCTTGTTTAGCGTTTGATATTTGAACAGACCATGGGCACAACATTTCCCCTTTCTGAAGAACTTACAGTCCGTACCACATATCCATATGGTGATATCCCGCCAAACAATACTGTGTCTTTTTCATCAGATGACATATGGGATAGAGTTTCTGCATGTTATGGAGACTGTTAAAATATCTGGTCACCTGGCAAGTTTGCTGATACCTAAAAAGAAGGGGTTTTTTTGTTTGTTTGACCAAATTACAAATAGAGATGTAGCAGTATGTGATTTTCACAGTATGGTAATGTCTCAGAAAATAAAAAGGTCTCACGGTATATGGTATTACACAATTACTACTTTTATTATTATTATTATTATTAGTTGGAATGACTCTTAAATGGATGAAAACAGAAGGTTATTTTTTGGTTGAACAAATGTAACGTTACTTAACCGTCAATTTTAATACTATAACGTTAGCTTACCATGAGACCTGTATACCGCCGCAACCCTTTTTGCAACGGTTATTAAAATGAATGTGGTGTAATATTTGAAGCAAGTATTAACTGTTTTTTCCCAAAGTGTCAAGAGTTGTATGTGCGTTCAAACAGACACAGACTGATTTGATGAAAATCACTCAGGAACAAAAAGACCAAGCTCTATTTCTTCTCTAAGCAAGTCTGGATGGACCCCCCAACACAGCATCCTATCATGATTGCATCATCGGCCTGCAAGATGATGATGACTCTCCCGCAGATGCTACAAAACGCGATACAAAAAACTCCTTGTCAAGATGGCAATCATGTGGCTGGGCGGCTGTAACAACATGTCGTAACGTTAACGTTACGTCTAAACTAACAAGAGTAAAAGTTAATGTTACAGCTCATAGCAGGTGCCTTTGTCTCTGACGTGAAGTCTGATCAATGTCGTTACACCTTGTTGTCAGGAATGCGGGTCAACACCTCGGCATCAAATGACACTTGCTCACAGGTGAGTGCTTGGTGTCGAAAATGAGCTAACTAGCTTAAATATAAACAGCGACTCACCTTTAAAAAGATAGTCGTATTCGTCTTCTCTGTTTGTCATAGCTTCTCCTCTTCGGCGACTCTACGTATTTACTCGAAGTCGAACAAACTTCTGGTGTACTCAGCTACTTCGAGACCGACAGACCACCGTTCACGACTTTAGCCTCACACGAAACACGGTCTCACTCAGACGACAACAACGCTGAATCACTGTCAAGTTGGGAGAATGTGATACTGGTGTTGTTGTCAAGCATAAAAAATACCAACAGCAACTAGCAGCTGAAAAAGTTTCCCCTCTTCTTCCTCAACCTCTGTCACTTGCCATAACCGAGGCGGCTGCGACGTAACGTCAGTTTATTTGTCCCACCTCTTGTTCGCTCCTACTGGTCGACAGCTGATTGACACCTGTCACGAGCATTAACGTGATTGGCTCGCTGTGCTGCCGTTCATGATTTGACCGCTGGTGGTTAACTTTGATGACGTCTGCGGCCCCAAGCCTGAACAGGTAATATCGAGCTTCAGGTTAGTTAGTTAGCAGCAGAAAACCCCAGCTGGCAAACAGTGGTATCACAAATAATCAGCCTAACAGTACAGACACAGTGTTATAACACAGTGTGGACCCCCCCCCCCCCCTCAAGAAGACAAAAGAAGCCTTACCGAGAATTTAAAGCCGTCTGGTGTCCATGGAGACCCTGGGTCACACACTTAACATTGCTTCACTTTATGCCTTTCCCTAAATGTATGAGAATTGCTTATAAGTTTTTGTATTGTTAAGTACACTGAATTTTCATGTGATGTGATTGATTATATAGACTCATTACATTCAAAGTGAGATATTTCAAGCCTTTATTTGACATAATTTCAATGATTATTGCGTACAGCTTATGAAAACCCCAAATTCAAAATCTCAGAAAATTAGAATATTACATGAAAGGATTTTAAATACAGAAATGTCAGCCCTCTGAAAAGTATAATCATGCATATGTACTCAGTACTTGGTTTGGGCCCCTTTTGCATGAATTACTGCCTCAGTGCGGCGTAGGCATGGATGCTATCAGCCTGTGGCACTGCTGAGGTGTTATGGAAGACCAGGATGCTTCAATAGCGGCCTTCAGCTCTTCTGAATTGTTCGGTCTCATGTCTTTCATCTTTCTCTTGGCAATGCCCCATAGATTCTCTATGGGGTTCAGGTCAGGCGAGTTTGCTGGCCAATCAAGCACAGTAATCCCATGGTCATTGAACCAGGTTTTGGTACTTTTGGCAGTGTGGGCAGGTGCCAAGTCCTTCTGGAAAATGAAGTCAGCATCTCCATAAAGCTCGTCTGCTGAAAGAAGCATAAAGTGCTCTAAAATGTCCTGGTAGATGGCTGCGCTTACTCTGGACTTAATAAAGCACAGAGGACCAACACCAGCAGATGACATGGCTCCCCAAACCAGACTGTGGAAACTTCACACTGGACTTCAAGCATCTTGGATTGTGTGCCTCTCCATTCTTCCTCCAGACTCTGGGACCTTGGTTTCCAAATGAGATGCAAAATTTCATCTCAAAAAATCTCATCAGAAAAGAGGACTTTGGACCCCTGAGAAACAGACCCGTTCTTTTTTTTTTCCCTTAGCCAGACGCTTCTGACGTTGTTTGTTGTTCAGGAGCGGCTTGACAAGAGGAATACGACATTTGAAGCCGTGTCCAGGACCCGTCTGTGTGTGGTGGCTCTTGATGCAGTAACTCCAGCCTCAGTCCACTCCTTGTGAAGCTCCCCCACACATTTGAATGGCCTTTACCTGACAATCCTCTCCAGGCTACTATCATCCCTGCTGCTTGTGCACCTTTTTCTTCCACACTTTTCCCTCCCACTTAACTTTCTATTAATGTGCCTTGATACAGCACTTTGAGAACATCCAACTTCTTTTGCAATTACCTTTTGAGGCTTTCCCTCCTTGTGGAGGGTGTCAATGATGGTTTTCTGCACAACTGTCAGGTCAGCAGTCTTCCCCATGATTGTGAATTCCACTGAACCAGACTGAGAGACCAATTAAAGGCTCAGGAACCCTTTGCAGGTGTTTTGGATTAATTAGCTGATTATAGTTTGACACTTTGAGCCTACAATACTGAACCTTTTCACAATATTCTAATATTCTGAGATTTTGAATTTGGGGTTTTCATAAGCTGTACGCAATAATCATCAAAATTATATCAAATAAAGGCTTGAAATATCTCACTTTGCATGTAATGAGTCTATATAATATATTAGTTGAATTACTGAAATAAATGTACTTTTGCACGATATGCTATTTTTCGAGTTTCACCTGTACATGGTGGTAAACTGAATATCTTTGGGTCTTGGTCCAACAAAACAAGACATTTGATGACATGACAATGATATTTATGGTATTTCCAAATTTTGTCTTCTTCATATATGCAAAATAGCAATAGCCAGTTTTATTCAAAAATATTTAAATGTAACATCTAAGTATTACTTTAAAGTAAACTAAGATGCTAATAGTAGAATCTAAGTTGAAAATGCGGAACATAAATGCATGAGATACAAACAAATGTACCATCTTTATGATCTGAAAACAATTCTTTGCATTAAAATCATTGTAGAGTAAAAACTGAATAATAACATGTCATCTAAACAGAAATTTTATACATTATGTTGAACAGCTTTTGTCATTTCCCACAAAAAACTTGGCAGAATGGGAAGTCCCTGAAACAACGTTCAGCCTTTGATGAGTCAGTGTTTAAACTTAAATTTCACTGCAGGTTTTACTCACTGTTTTCAGGTTGTTGTGGTCAGAGAGGAACTGTCCTCATATCAGACATGGAGAATACAGAACCGCTGATACATTGTTTGATAAAAGATCATTATTGGTTTAACTTTCTTTGTCTCTATCAGGCAGTCCACTGTTTTCCCATAAAACTGAAAGCTGGTTTGGTTTTATTATGATTAAATTTGCAGCAGGAAGGAAAACATATCTCCCTAGCCCTTTAAAGAGGCCTGTGCACTCATTCACTACATACAGTATATCGTCATTCTGCCTGGGTTGAACCAACATTAATTGGGCTAGTTAATTATCGCAGCACAGTCAGAGGACAAAGAGATCTTATGCTTGAAAAGGTTGCCCACTCCTGACCTATTCTGCTCGACGGACACAGTACATCTGAAACTTATTTTCTGTTTGTTCTCAGAACATTTTTCTACATCTTTGCACTTTCATATCTTTTAATGTTTATCTTCAGACCAATTTCCTGTAAGGTTATGGACCTTTGATGTTGCTAAGCATTTGATGTGAAATAGTTTGAAAAAGGCCTGGATCGGAAACAGACCATGGCCAAATATGGTTTAATACTGGACTTTGACTCATAAAACAGTGTTTCCTACAAATATGAGCTTATCGTTTAAATTATTTGTCAGTTTAGTAGAGTGTGTTATTATTATTGAAAAAAAGCATTTCACTTGAACTGAATCACTTCTGAGGTAATAATCATAGGCCTTCGTCACAGTTGACATTTTGATTTGTCATAGTGGGAAAAGCACAGGTGTTACTGATAACAAAAGCGATGGCTCTGTTCTGTTCAGGTTTTCCAGTGTGCCTTGACAGTGAGCCAGCATGCACAATACCAGGACCCTGAAACCGAAGCAGCGAAACGGAATTCAGCCATCAGTCAATATTATTGTTTACACATGTGACACGTCAAAATGTCTTCTGTGAAAAAGGCCTCTATTTTGCTATAAGTCACAAATAACATGCAATAGGTCATTGTCTCCATAAATTGTTTATTTCTCAACAGAAATGATATCAGACTCATCCTAGATCATATGCTGGAGCACATGCACAGCAGTAACAGAAACACTCATAGTCCATACATACGTACCACCAACTAAACGGTTGATTTTAAGAAAACAACAGTCATGTGTCACTTAAATTTAAAACATCATACATGCAATGATGCATACGTTCCTCCAATTCCGTGCATGGATTATAAATATATCATCTTACAGCTAACACGGTAAAGTGTTTTACTTTTGACCTATGTTCAATAGTCAGCAAGGACTCCTAAAAGATAGATGTTGGTCTCCACGTACATTCATTCACATTTAATATGAATCATCTTTTGAATGCATCATCCCACCATGCAGCTTGTACAACTTGTAAATCAGTCATTTCAAAGTGGCATCACATAAGAAAGGGCCGATAAAATTGGCACCCACTGTTTCTGTGTGGCCCGCCTCTCACTCAGTTCTAGTACAGGGTTGTGGGTGGAAGCAGTAATTCACCCTGAGGCCCCTGGGCTCCTGAAGGTCTTCGTGATCAGATGTTCCTGCAGCAGGGCTTCTTCTCCTCTGTGTTTTCTGCTTTGGAGCTGTTTAAGGATACAGCACTGATAGAGCCACGGACCACTTCCTTACTGCTCACCTTTTTATGAATCGCTATGGCAGAGAATGAATATATATTATACATTTAACATTGTGCTAGCATAAAAAGAAGCTGCCCAGGCTTTGAGAAGAAAAAGTGCTCTAGTACCAAAACAACATAAGACATGCCTCGGACCTCCTTGATGCACAAACACTTATATGAAAAGTACAGCAACACTTCAAACTAAATGAAGGTAACGTTGTTCATTTCCAACCAAAAGACAACTGGAGATGTTTCCTCCCAAAGCAGTCAATCAAATGGCTGTCTCAGGACTACCAAAGGTCAAGTTATGCTGACCTTTTCCAGAGTTAGACTTTCTCTGACCCTCTCTGAGCTAAGGAGATGGAGGATGGAGGTCTGGCTATATGAGGTCAAATTAAGGGTCACAAGATGGAGCCTTATCCCAGCATGTTCATGGGAAAATGTGTGTGTCCAGTCCACATCATTTATATGTCTTTGGAGGGGTTGGGGCTGGAGGGGGGGTATTCAAGAGAGCAAAATGGAGGGGAACCCACATGCACACAGAAAGGACTGGGGCTGGGGATGCTGTGAGGCAGTCAACCATGCCAGAATATGCTTCTCTTTGTATCTCTGCAGGTTTGGACATGAACACCAGATTCGCATAACAGCTTTTAACAGAGTAAAAACAAAAAAAACATAAATACATTCAAACAAGTTACCTGCTAGGACACTGTTGAAAGCTGCTTCCACATTAGTTGACTCCAAAGCAGAGGTCTCCAGAAACAAAAGACCATTCTTTTCTAGATAATACAAATAGGCTATGTTAGTTTACATAAATCCCCTCTAATACAGTACTAACATCATGTAATATATCTTTAATCACTGATATCACCATGAGGAATCAATAAATAGGAATTGGACTTTTGTTTTATTTTAAGATTTTGTGCAGAGACACATTAACAGTTTGGTGAGCAGGCTAATTTACATTCTCTACAATCATCATAAAATCAGTTTCCACAAACCAATTGTAACGATGGACATGCAAACCGTATGCAGTGATTTTCAGCACAAAGGTAACACTTGCTGACTTTGTACCTGCAAAGTCTTTGGCCTCCTCGTTGGGCACAGATCTTTCTGACTCCAGGTCAGTCTTGTTGCCCACCAGCATGACCACGATGTGGGGGTCAGCGTGGTCGTACAGCTCCTTCAGCCAGCGCTCCACGCTCTCATACGTGAGGTGTTTTGTTATGTCATAGACCAGAAGGGCTCCCACAGCACCTCTGTAATACCTGTTTGGAGAAGATTTACTTCACATTTAAACTTTATGTGACTCTGAAGTGTCTTTTTTTTTTTCATAATCCTACTTATGGGGCCAGTGTGGCACTATAGTTTCAGTAAATGAAGGTTAACAATCTACACACACTCATACTAAAACCTGTAATAACTATTTTTTTGGACACTTAGGGACAAGGGAAAAATCTGTAAACACAAAAATGTATTAGTTTATCATCACCTTTTCAGTTGATATGGCAAACTGCTGTCACCACCAACTCCTGAGGGAAATATCTTTCTCTTTAGCTGGTAAATGCCTCACTTTGTTCCCCAGCACCAACTTGTCTGTGCTGGGCAGCGAACATACAGTGGGCTTTTAGCTTCTGCAACCGCAAACAACTCGACAGCAGTCACAGCGTACCAAAACATTAAAGTTGCGGGTCAGAAAACCAAAACAATGAGTTGAAAGATGCCATAAAGCTCTGCAGAGAGGAACTGCAGAGTCTGGTGATAATTCTCTGTGAGTTCATCACTAAGAGTGACCCCTTTCACAATACACAGTCATTTGATCCAAAAGTATTATAAAAAATATCAATGATGGCCACTTTAAACATTGTCCTAGCTTCATTGACAACAGCTTCATTGAGCAGTTTCTCCTGTCATGACCCAATCAATCCTTCCTTCACAATTACATTTCTGCTCGCCTCTTCCAGTAGCATAATTAATTCCACTTTAATAGGTTTTAGCTGCTTGTTACAGCACAAATGGGGGATTCCATTGGGAGTGAGAATTTTCATACTGGAATAAATCTGCAAGTAATTACTCAAAAAGCCAAGCTATCAGAAAAGAACTAATCCAGTGGTGTAGCATATCCTCAGATTTTTCCACATCTTAAAAATAAAATTGACATGGTTCTATTGTTTTAAAACCAGTTTCCACAATATTAATTCTTCTAGTTTAATTTTAAAAAGAATAAATACGGAGCACCCTCCGATAGAACAGAGACCCGCTGAGGGCTGAGTATTCAAACTAAGGTCTCTGCTCTATCCAATTGGATTTTGACAGGAGAGGAGAATAATGCTGATTGTTTTTCAGGTAATGTGGAAGGAAACTCAGGATAAGTGCCTGTCCTTGCATGTGCTTTGGCTGATAACAGCACCACCTTCAGATGCCGACATACAGGTTGCTCAACAACTACAAAGCAAGAAAACAAGCATGAAATGTTGATTTAAAAAAACTGTGCTTTTTGTGTGCCTGCTTAAAGAGTGGGCATGTTTAAAAGGAAGTGCAATATTCAAATCAGTGCATCTACTAGCACAACATACATTTATGTTACTTCAGTACTAATTCATACGTTAAGGAATTGCACACATTGTTACTGAAATTAGGTGGGTTCTTTATAAACAAACACGTATATGAGTCACAAAGAAATTATGCAATGTGGGACTTCTCCCGCTAATTGAGACTTTTAGGCTTAGTTACCCAGTGTTGCATTAGTACATTGACAAGTGGGACAATAGAGAGTCAAGCAGTTGTGCATACAGAGATGGTTTGATTTACCAATCATGGCTGTACCTGTTGTTTGAATTGTGCTACTACTTGCTACTTAAAAAAATAGTTTTGGGAATTTGGCCATTCGGTTACTTGCTGAGAGTTAGATAAGAAGATTAAATAAAGTAATATGGAGCTACAGCCAGCAGCAGGTTAGCTTAGCTTCACCTAAGCTTAACATGTATATCCGACATGTGGACATGACATACATCTTTCTTGTAATATAGAAGCCGAAATTCTTTTCCATGAGGTATTTATTGTTGAGAACCTGTTTGTCTAACACAGCCACAATGCAGCTTAATGGAATATAATTAATCATAAAATAACTGTAGGAATGCCTTGAAAATCAGCTGAAAATATATGCAGATTTGGGCAACAAGAACCAGATGAACAGAAAGAACATAAAAAAACATAACATTAATTCTATACAGTGTGTTTCTGTGTACACATGCATATACTAATGGATCTATAAAAACTGTGATGGTTCTTGACACTCACGCAGAAGTGATGGCCCGGTATCGTTCCAGCCCGGCCGTGTCCCAGATCTGGGCCTTGATGGTGAAGCCGCTGAGCTGCACTGTCCGTGTGCTGAACTCCACCCCGATGGTAGTGCGACTGTCATGGCTGAACTCATTTTTGGTGAAACGGGAGAGCAGATTGCTCTTTCCTACACCAGATTCTCCTATCAAAACCACTTCAGAAAACACACAATGCAGAAAGTGCAAGTATTTTAATTAGAGTTCAGAATTTTGGGTTCGGTTGTGAAACTAAATTCAGTATTTCTAGGGTAAAGGAGACAAACCCATATTCTCAGGGCCTAATATGAGCCAATCCTCTAATGTCCACTTCATCCTCTACAGCCCTTCTTAATTAAAGCCTTTAGTCTAGGTGTGTCTTTCTTGATTGCCTGAGAAATCCTCAGTCTTAGTTGTGTAAGAATAGGGGCCTATAGCTACACCTTCAGGGATGTCCTCTTTTAAAAACTGCACCACACCCTTGTGGTAAATTAGTTCATTGTTTTAACTCAAGTAGAGGCATAATGCAGAGCGAGGACATCAGTAAAATGCTGGGGAACAATGTAGGGTGTTGGTTGATTTTGTGTTGGCTGTACGCTAATTCAGTATGTGCTGGTGAGATATCAATTCTAAAATACATAATGTTTTGCAATTTTTTTATTTAAACAGCGAGGATTGAAGGTGACAGGTGAAGGAAGACTGAAGTACAAATGTACTGTAATTTGCATTTTCTTCCATGTGTCAACTTTTCTTGAGGGGGGGCGACCACTGGTATAAAACAGTTGTTGCTGTTTTATATCTATGGAGGAGGACACACTTCCCCCTTTGAAAAACTGAGAACCTTAGAGTTACAAACCTCAAGTGAGCCTTTGTTTTTGGAAAATAAATCTAGAGTGTAAGGTGATTCAAATTCAGGTGGAACAAGTTAAACTGCTACTTCCTTTTATCTTGGTCAGAGGAACCTACCTACTGGGTAAACAGGCACAACACAGACACCCCCTATGTACATTTCAGTGAGTAATGTTTGGGTTTCAGCTGTTAGTAGCTGACTCAGAGAGAAAAAAGGCTTGGCCTAATTGGCAGAGATAGGAAAGTATGACCACTCTATGAAACACAGTTGCAGCTTATTGCTGAGGCATGTGAGCTTGTGAACACTGAGATGATAATCCAGGTTATTGTGACATCTCCACAGCAATTAAACATGGAGTTAGAATGGTGAGTTAAAAAGAACAGTCGAACATTTTAGGAAAAACACTGATTCGCTTTTTGCTAAGAGTTAGAAGAGAAGGTTGATACCACTCCAATGTCTGTATGTTAAATAATGTTCTTCCTTTGTTTAAGTAATATTTGCTGTTTTTTGTTTACCAAGCAGTATACCGTCATCATGTCACTTTGTCTTTTTTTTTATTTATATTTTATTTATATATAACTAGTGAGCTTTAGAGGTGCTGATAGGTAGACTTTTTTTTTTTTTACATTTGGACAGCTATCTGTTTCCCCTCTGCTTCCGATCTTTTGCAAAGCGAAGCTAATCGTCTGCTAGTTCTAGCTTCATATTCAGCATACACATAAGAGTGGTACTGAGTGGTTCTGGGCCCCTTACACAGCTTTTGCAGACACAGTTTGACAGAAAAGGCTGAAAAGGAACAACATCTACCCAGATGATTTGCATTGAATACAGGTTAGAGTTACTATCAACACACAATAATCAAGATTTAGTTGACACAATACACACAACCTTTTTAGAGACAGTGGGAAAATGGAACACCAGAGGCCGTTAGTGGTGGCCTATTTACTCCAGTACTGAACTTTAGTAGAATTTTGAGTTACTTTTGCTGTAGTTAAGAGTCACTCTGCAGTTAAAGATTGTATGCATTTTAGAGATTGTTTTATGTTTTTAATGTGTTTTTAGTGTACTGTATGTAGTGGTCACATTGGTAATATTTGTTTGTTTTTTGTACTTGTGTTGTTTATCTGATCCTTGTATAATTTGATTGTGTCCCCTGACTGCAAGTGAAGGTGGGATAAAAAATAAATGAATTGAACTGATTACATCCATTATGACAATGTTAAAATGCAGCTTACACATGCTCATTAATGACTCAGTAATAATATGTGTGTGATAGTGAGTACTTTTCTTTGGATAATAAAAGTAGATTTTACTTATAATACTACTTACTTACTTACTTAATTGAGATTTTGAATGTTTTTACTTAAACAAAGGACCTAAATACATTTCCGTTGACAAAACAATCTCACCACAAGGTCCATTTTACCAAGGAGCTTTCAATCATATCACACAATCTTCATCAGCAGATGGAGTTTGCCCAGTCATGGAACTGTGGATTTTCAAATTCTCTGATGTTCACCATCTGCTGATGAAACTCCTATGATGCAATTTAGAGTGCCAGAACAGCTTCTAAATGAACATTGTAGTGAGAGTTTTCTTAACTTTTTTTCTTTTCCAAGGTCAAGAATGAACTTTGAACCTCAACTTTTAAGCCAACATGGATGTGAAGTTCCTAAAATGCTCCAAATAATGCAAATTTGAACATCAACACTTGATTGTGCCAGAACAGCTACTAAATGGACCTTGTGGTGAGATTGTTTTCTCAATCTGTTTCTAAGGCCTAGAATAAATTTCAATTTGAGTTTACAAATCACTATTTAGTAACTAGTCACAGCAGAAACACAGATATAAAATGCTGACACTGCTTTCCTGAACACCAGCTGACTCCCATAACAGTACACTGCACAAATGACTTGGCCCCAGTTCTTGACTTACCTGAAGTCTAAGCCTGAGGCAAAGAATGTTTCACAAGTTGTTCTACTTTTGCTTGTTTTAGGTAATTGTTCACTCTGCAACCAGATCACTGTACTGATTCCCCCCCCCCCCCAGTGCGTGAGGTGAGAATGGCTGATTTCCCCTCTTCTCCACGACTGAGTAACTTCTTATGCAAACAGTACCCCTGGTTTCTATGGCAATTGAGGACAATAGGCCTCCAAGCTTTCCAGCAGCCTGGTTTGTTGATTCTGGGGGAGCTGGGAAGAACTGATGCGTTGCAATTAGGATAAAATTTTCATTTTGTTTGTTTTCATGACCTTCAGGACTGGAAATGTAACTACTGTTACTACTGCTTACAGGCCTGAAATGCTGGTGGAGTATATTCAACATGATCTTTTCTGGCATGCTATATTCCCCCATGTTTAATGGCCAATATTAAAACAAATTACAGTATTTTAAATGTGCGTTATTGTACATGAGCATATGTGTATTAGTTTAACTTCAAATTCCCAGTTACCTAATTGTATACAATAGGATAATGACAAATGTAAGGCTACAGCCAGCAGGTACTTAGGGTAGCATAAAGTGACTTCCTGGAGTACTGTCGTTTACAACACAGACATTACAGTATCATCGTTCTGATCTAACTCTCAGTAAGACAGTGAAGAAGCGCATTTGTTTTTTCTTATCCAAAGTGAGTGGAGGGTATCATATGCTATACAGATTGTAAATCTTTCAGCATTCAGCCACGTTTCTAATAGTTTACAGTGTAGAGATAAACAGGAAATGTGGGGAGAGAGATGGGATGAGCAAATCTGTTATGAGTGATTTTGTGCTGTATGAATTAAAGACTTGACTGTCATATCTCATTTTGCAGTGGAACTCATTAACACAGTAAGAACAGAATATAATTCCACTACAGATGCAACACTTTTGTAGACTGAATGTTTTGAAAACGATTGTATGAGTGATTACTTCGCCTTTTGGCACTGATATGCTGCTTCAAACAGACATTCTTTGTTACAATGTTGTTCTGCGGGAAATGCTACTGATAAGGGGAAATAAAACTACGTATCCTGGTTTCAACAGTAAACTGTATTATGCATGCATCCTGCTTACTTACCCAGGGACAAAAGTGCTGAGATGGTAATGTGGTTGTAATGTCACTCAACTTTGTAATAATGCAACTCACCCGAAGTGTTTTGAGATTTGCAAAATACCTACATACAATATTTACCTAAACAGCTGACTGAACAGCTAAGACCCCAGCACAAATAGGTTCAGGCTGTGTGTATATCTGTGTGTTACTTCTGTTACTCAGTACTGTATAATATACTCAGCTGTTTATTACTAATAATCTTTTTTTCTGTTTGTGCACAACACACGTTCCTGTTCTTAGAAATCTAGAAAAACGCCAAGTTATTAATATACAATTATAATTTGAAAGACAAAGGAACGTTGCAAAATAACACCTTTAAGGATGTACCTGGAGTTCGAATCAAGTAAGCAGGAGAACATGTACTCACCCTTAAAGACAAAATTGTAAGCCTCATCTGACCCCATAGTCTGTCCATTCAATGTTGCCGCCCCACAGTTTACTACCGTGTTGCCAGCCCTCACAGACTGACTGCCGGATGTAAGGTGACACTCAGTCACACCACAACCAGCCTGCCCCTCAGATCCTCAGGCTTCAGAAAAGAAAATGGCTGCAAAAACGTTTTGACACAGGAATTCCAGTCACCAACATTCTGCCCTTCACTACCCTTCCCAATCTGAGTTAATAAAAAGCTGGCTTGTTTGAACAAGACATGCAGAGTGTATACAGGTTGTTCTGCTGCAGCAGGCGGGGTTTGTATCAGGGAGTGGTGGGGCAGCGGTGGAGGTGTGTCTTTAGTAACGGAGTAAATGCAGGGCAGGTTAAACAGGTGGAGCGACTGGCAGGTAAAGCTGAGAGGGATTGTCAGGCGCCTTCTGCTGGACCGATCAAATTACTGCATGCAGGAAGCAGGAAGCAAGTTTTCCTGCTTCATCACTACAAGAGAAAAACCACCTTTAAAAAGAGTTTGTATGGTTTTTCTAAGATATTGTATTGCAGTGTTTTTATTTGTGAAATAAGCTGATCATCACAGAAAATGCAGCGCCTTGGACGCCACACCGCCCGAGCATATTTTGATGTATTTAATCAGACGTCTTTCATATTCCTTTAATTTCTTCTTTCCAAGAGGTAAAGATCCCTGAAACTGAAGGGAGTTTTAGATTTTGTTTTCTGGGCCATAAATACACTGCAGCAACATATTAATAAGCCTTTTTAGCCCTGTGTGCTTCAGATTGTTACTATGTTTAAAGAGAAAACTCTTTTAACTTTGGAATTTGGAGCTCCTAGTATTACATTTTTACCACTAAGTCATCAAACTGTTAATTATTGCCCATGCTTTTCTCTAAACACTGATATTCAGTTTGCAACAAAGACACCAGAAAGAGAAATTTTGTTTTAATCAATCGGATTTAAATCTCCAACTAACTTCAAGTGAACTTTAAAAAAATGTGCAAGTCTTGGGCTGTGATTAAACTGCACTTTTTTCCCAATCATAACACTACTCAAATGATTTTTATTAATATTCATTTCAGATTATAAAGCAAGTGAGCAAGCAAAGAGTGAGACAAAAGTCTGATATTATGAAATACATATATCCTATGATTATCTACAGGAAAATGTCAGAGAGCTTTTGATCCCAGCTTCTTGAATGTGAATATTTTCTGGTTTCTTTCCTCCTATATAACAGTAAACTAAATATCTTTGAGTTGTGGACAAAACAAGACATTTGAGGATGTAATCACTGGCTTTGGGAAACAGATGGGCAATTAAAATCATCTTTAGCTGCAGCCCTAAATGTAGCTAATACTAAAAGCATCTTACCTGCTTCATATTGATTTCTTTCAAGCTTTCTTTACGGGGCCTTTCTAATTTGATATTAACAACACTCATACAATTAAATTTGTATCAGAGAATACTGATATTACAGCTAATTTCAATACAAAATCCTCGTAAGAATCCTGGTAAACCTGATATCCTACCTGAACTAATCTATGTGTAATCTCCATCTTTGAGCCTACTTAATGTCACACTAAGCACTCAGTTCTGAGCATTAAAAACCCCAAATAAGATTTTGTGAATTTTAATCCAAAAATTGTTTATTGACAGCTTTGAAACAAAAAGTAGCAGATAATGTTGACTGCATTTTATCAGATGGAAATTCTTATAAATGTTTCCACAATACTAAACATTACATGCACATTTTAGTCCTCAGATATGATTAAAAATGTTCAATTTCCTGCTTAACTGTGCCTCCACTAAAACTGCAAATAAATGAGTAAATTGTGGTACCAGTGGTTTGAATCAATCAGCCTTTTAATGACAAATTATGTGGAGAACAGGTCATTTATTACATAAACGGAGTCACAAGGAAGGGCAAATAGTTTATATATAGATTATAAATACACTGCCCATCCCCCACCCCACACACGTTTACTCACTCACACTAAATATATGCATGTACACAAAATGTTACAGTAGCCCATGAATGACCTGGATCTTGTGATGCTTTTGCGACAGGCAGAGCTTCCGTCACATCTCTGCTATGATGCTGCCACTTGGGTTAATGGTTCCTCCAGGTACTGCACCAGGGCTTCTGCCTATAAATACAACATACAGAGAACGGAATTAACATAAGGCATTAGTTTAAGCCATTGTTTTATGTGTGGTATCTCACTATGGCATCCAAGCTGGACTATCAGACTTCCTTTAAAACTGAACTCTGAGGAAAATCTATTATGAAACATGCCAAGTCAGTATGATACAATTTGTATGAAATGACTTCTAGCTGAACAATACAGTAGAGTTGCATCAGGAACTTTTTTGATTATTAATTCATCATTTAAAGTAATTTTTAAAGCACAAATGCCAAATATTTGATCGCTTTAGCATCTTCAATGTGAGTATTTGCTGCTTCTCCTTGTTGTCATATATCAGAGTAAACTAAACATCTTTGGGTTTTGGGTTGTTGGTTGGACAAAACTAGACATTGTATGACATCGCCTTGTGCTCTAAAAAAATTGCAATGGGAATTTTTCACTGTTTTATGATGTCTTATAAACCAAATAATCAAACAATTCAGGAGCTAATCTACAGATATAGTGATAATGAAAATAACTGTTAGTTGCAACCCTTGTACAGTAAACTGGTACACATGTCTACTATATTGTTGAAAACAGTTATGCCATCAAGTTATTTTTAAAGAACATTTAAGGATAAACTATTTGGGATTGTGTCAGCATACCACAGTGTCAGCTGGAGTGACATCTTAACTGAAATCTACAACATCAAAAAGCTACAGGTGTGAACACTTATTTTCTAAACCCATAATTCAAACGTCGACTTAAATATTCTGTCTGCCTGCAGTGAAAAAAGAGTATTGAAGGGTTCATTAAAAGTTAGCCTATGTATGTAAATTAATCGAAACATTCTGCCAAAGTTAACAGTAAAACAGCTGTAAGTTAAATTCTGAAGATTTCCACTTGGTTTGAAATCTGCTTTTTGTCACGCTGTGAGCAAATGGGATCAGAATCGGTGCTACAGAAACATTACCAACCATGCTTCTATATTAAATGATGGGAAAATATACTGCTTACATTGATCACATCTTGGACATTTGAGGCTTACAAACTCCCACATGCACCCATCACCTGCTTGCTTTTGTCTCACTTCTCCCCTTGTGACTGTATCTTGTTATTTCACATTCCTCTCATATAATACTAGTATCTAATCTGTTGTCAGTCCCAACAATGTCAAATGAGGACCAAATCTATATGCAGACCAATTCTTTAGCTAGAAGTGTGACGGCAACCTTGGTGACTGAATTAAGGTACATTTAAGTTATTAATATATAAATGAGCTTGGCAAGTACAGGAAACCCTGGTGAATGTATGAAATACCATGCCAATGAAAGCAGGACATTGGTTGTGTGTAGAACAAATGAGAATAGCATTTAAAGTCTTAAAACTCACCTTGGCTTTAAGCATTCCAAATCCCACTGTCTCTTTGGCATACATACACAGTAGTAGGTTGGCTACACGAGTAATGGCCACTCTTCCCTCCTGAGAGAGAAAACAAGAGAGAGGGACAGTCCCAGTATAAAGTGTCTATATTCACTGATTAATAATCAGAATCCAAAATTTGTAATAGTTCACTATTACAAATGCAAACTGTTCTTATCACAATCGCTCATCATATACCTGAAAACAACTGCAATGTTTCTGGAAGAGCTACACTTCCTCTTACCATACAATCCATCAGTATGAATTTTAGTTTGTCTTCGTTAAAGGCTTGGTGGCCGTTCTTGTCGTAGGCTGCCCAGATGTTGCTAGCGATGGCGGCTGTCACTCGTGCATCAGTATCCCCGTACCCAGAGTAAGCCAGAAGTGAACCTTCATTATTCAGCAAGCTGGTGAAAATGTAAAGTTGGGTGTTTCAGTATCCAGCAAATTAACATGTAAAATTATTATATTCCTTGCCAACTCTATGGTATCTCAAAGGAAGAGAGGATTCAAATGACAATTATTATTATTATAATATCGACATGGTGGCCCACTTGAACCCAAGTGTACTAATATAATTATAGCATAGAGACCTACTGTCTATGTCAACCAATAAAAATTGCAAATAGTTAAATAGTTATGAATTATGTTGCTTGTTTGCTACAAGTTAAAATGATCATGTGGTGGTTTAAAGACACTTTTTAATGACAATTTGAATTGACAATTATACCATATTTATTCTAAAAATAACTACAATGAACTCATCTATAGAAACGCAGGAAGTTTGAATTAATTTTCTTTACTGAACTTGGACATTATAATTTTAGTACAGCTGAAATGATTTGTTATTATAAAGAATGAATCGGCAGCTTTATGGATAATTGATTTATCATTTCAGTAATTTTTCAAGCCAAAAATTCACTAACATTACTTCCATCTTCTCAAATGTGAGACATTTATGGGTATTTGGAATTTTTAACTGAATATCTTCGGTATTTGGACTGTAGGTCGGTCAACTCCAGCAAATTGAACACATCAACTTGTACAAAACGACTGCAATAATTAGCAGATTAGTCGACAATAACAATTACTAACATGTACATTTTACATGTAGAGTTACTAAAACACCATGTTGCAAAGAGCTATTATTAACGTTACTGTAAAATAAGCTTTGGTTAATTTTACATATCTTCGCCTACTCGAGCTGCAGCATTCGTCGCGATATTTAACGTTAACAGACTCTTTATATTTCCATGGACACAAAAAGCCCACAGTTGTAATAATTACTACAACAAACTCTATAACGTTAATGGTAAAAAAATTATATATTAGCTGGTGTCCCAAGTAGCATTTCGCTAGCATGCTACGAGCTAGCTAACTGTACTCACAGTGTGCTTTGGACTCCGTTTGTGTTCGCTTGGCTGAGAACCTGCGTTAACGCCTTTGGTCGTAGCATAGCTAAAACTCCCTAACTTATGATAATGCAATAAACGAAATGACCAAACAACTGCCTTTAAACTGTCAAAAACTACTCAACACAAACAGTCAAGTCAGCTGACTGTTGTCTTCTTTTTCCGGGTGCCTTCTCAATGCATTGTGGGAGTTGTAGGCATCGAATTCATCCACTCCATTCATCATGCACTCCAGTTTCATGTTATTATTTATAATATAAACTATCCAACCTTTCAGAATACATTCAAAACTATGAAAAAATACACCTTAAAACGGAGCAATAATAAATAGCCAATTTACTTTTAATACTTAAAATAATTATATACTTAGCTTTGATAAAGATACAATACAGACTTTTACAATTCCTGGAATAATATTTGTAAATATTCAAGTAAATATTGCTACATTTACTTAATTAACAGAACAGTACAGTGACTGTATGACAAATAGATTATTTAAATTTTGATTTCTTAGGAGTAATATACTTTAAGATATAAACAACAATTTGTCATAAGCTATGGCGAGAACACATTGCAAGGACAAGTGAAAATTTCAATCAAGGATTAAATTCAATACAGCCACATTGCCAAAGAATATTATGCACACATATTTAGAACAGACAAGACATACAGTGCAAATAATTTATTGTTTTGAAAAACAAATTGTCTAATTATCTGTCCATAGGTAGACTCACAACAAGAGATTTCATGGTTAAATTTCAATTTATTGCAGAACTCAACATTACATTTAGGCACTATATTTCTTCTATGGAAATTCACATGTGTTATTGTGAAAGGATTTGATACATCTGTGATTGGCTTTCTCAATTTCCATTTAGTAATCCATAACCACACTTATTATAGTATCACCAGAGAACTGACACATGAGGCCATTTTATAGTTTATTTTATAGTTCAGAACAAAAAATTCAAGTCCAAGTTTATTACTTTTACACTGTTATTTTTCAGGAATCACCCCGAACCAAAGCCATTTGCTAAGAAAGTTAATTCCAATGAATATCTACAATAGGGGTGGCTAATGTCGATAAACCTGTCAAGTTAATGTAATATTTAGGGTGATATTACGATTCTGGGACTGTAACTGCAGAACAATTTAGAGATTAAAACAATCAGATGGAAATTACAGTTTTGGCTAATTCTGCAAATGAAAAACCTGACAAATATACTTGAGGAAAATCCTGTATTACACTTTGGCAACACAATGAGAGAAATTAAAGGGATATCTACCTCAACATAGAACAATCTCTACCAGTTGAAAAGCCTCTAGCCCCTCACTGTATATAATGTCACACTGTCCAACCCCCATCCGCACACAGTATTGCCTTGGTCCTACAACATGAAAACTTTCACTTTCTACTCCTCCGAAAACATTTAGGCAGCAGTGCCAACTATACACACAAGATTCAGTTCAGTTTTAGGGGGAAAAACAAAGCATCAAGAACCTGTCAGGGTTAACTTAGGGAAAACCTAAGTGAAGGGATAACTTAAATAAATACAAGTCAACCAGGAAAGTGGATGAAAAAAAAGACAAGAAAAGCTGGTTCTCCAGACAGAGAGCACAGATCCAACCTATTACAACACCACCATGATCCAGAACTCTTCATCTAAACTCCTAAATACAATCTGTTAAAATTAAATAATGTAAAAATAAGTAACTACAGTATTACAAATTAATTCATTGGTAACCTCATTTAGACATCCAGTGAATGAGCACTGAATCAGAAATCATCTCCGGCTGCACTGGCAGGAGTAACTCAGTGGGCGAGGCAGTGCTAGTGGTGGTGTCATTTCATAGCAGCAGTACTGCCACAGCATGTACCACAAGACCAAGTCTGTTAGAAACTGGCAACATCCCTCCTCAACCTCTCCCACTATGATTCCCCAGTTCCCTGTTCATCCTTCCTATGATTTACAGATCAGCTGAAGAGATAACAAGTGACTGGAACACCACTGCGTCTAACTGGGGGTCAGGTCAGACTTGTATATGATGGAGGACTGTGTTCACTTATTAATTTTCCAATTTCCAACGCAAGTCCCCAAAGATATTAGTCTTCCACCCTCAACCCCAGAATGAATTCAGTGAGTTAGGCCAGCAGTCTCTCAATGGCAGCATTGACATCCCCTCCTGTAGCAATGAGTGCCTGGAGGTTGGCTTCGCGGTTGATAAAGCCCATGGCGTTGAGCTGGTCGAGCTGCTGCTGGAAGCGAACCTCCGGGGTCTGAGAAGGAAGACACAATGGTTAAGATAGTACTTTTTTTTTTAAACAGAGGTGGACATCTTTTTTTTGAGATTCTGATTACAGGCTTTATATAGGAAGTTTTTATATTTACGCCACCTGATTTTGACACAATATTTTAACACATTTCCATCCATAATTAGGCATCAAAATACAGACAAACTCATCCTCTCACACAATATCACATTTTAAAGTGGTCATATTTTGCTGATTTTAAGGTTCATAATTTTATTTAGGGGTTGTACCAGAACAGGTTTACATGGTTTCATTTTCAAAAAAAACATACTGCACATTGCTGCAGCTCCTCTTTTCATCCTTAGCTGTGGAGTGATGCATCTCACTTCTAAAAGATCGAGGTTGGGAGTTGCACATACGCAGTTCCTGGTTAAGGACTACCAGCCAATCAGAAGCAGAGAAGGGCGGGTCGTGAGAAGCCGGTAAACACGGCTCAGCTGTATATCTCCTTACCAGTTTAGCAACATGGTCTGGAGCAAGAATTTCAGAGAGGTGAGTTATTAATCTGTAACAAATGTGTCTTTCATCCATAAAGTTTTAACTGAGCTCTGTCTCTACATCACAGTAACAACTTTATGACCATCGACTGCCTGGAGGGTAGCTAGTGTTTGAAAGGGAGAGGAGAGGCAGCCAGCAGAAGTCTTGTCACTGTGTGCTGCAGCTCAGAGTGTTTTTTGTGACGTAGGCATATAGCGGAAGAAAAGGCTGGACTATAGATGAGTTGTTTTCAGACAGTTCAGAGCAGAGTTTTCTGTGGGAGATGGGAACTCCCCTTTGGGCTGGACTTTGGGCTTTTTCACTTTGCAAACCTATTACATGCACCAAAAAGGTATCGAACTCAATAAAGGAGAGGGAAAAAGCCAAAAGGCCTCTTTAAGCGTCAGGACAAATTTAGGAAATTATATGAAACATACTGATGGCCCTCCGCCTCCAAACATCTGTAACATCTGCTGCATGAGCTGTTGCTGAGCAGGACTGGTGGCTGAGAAGAGACTGGATCCTGATGCCATGGCAGGAGGGTGAGGGTTCTCTGGAGGGATGTTGCCTCCTGTGGTTGGAGGAACTGCAAGACCTCCGGGAGGCAATCTAGAAAAGGGAAAAGAAATGTCATATATCCAGACTACTGTAGCAATTCCTGTGACTTTTAGCTAAATATACGGTGACTTCAAATAACCAGAATTCATACAGTATATGGATATCTGTTGGGTTTACTGTTTCTTTACATAAATAAACAACTACATTTATAAAAGCAAGACACCATAGCTTTACAAGGTAGTGTTGAAGAGTGGCAGCTTTAAAAGCTTGTGAGAGTAACTCCAGTTTGGCTTAAATGCCTACAAATCATAATAATCTATTTTAAACTGAACACATTATTGTGTCATGATATCAATTTCATTTGGGAAAATATAGCAAATCTATGGGGTCTGAGTTAGGGGGAGGGACTTTATTATTCCACCTCTGCTTTGTGATTTAGTAAAATGGGTAGATTCTTTACACAAACATCTTGTAAACTGTAAACCTTATAAATACTTTCTTTTCACGATTCAGATGATTGAAACAATTCTGATTAATTCTGAGTGGACCGCAAGATTAAAAAAAATTATACAGGGTTGAAGTATTTGATTTAATAGCAACTTGCTGGTACCTGGACATGAATCCCGGGACTTCTGTCTGTAAGGTCTGCAGGCCCTGTTGGATCTGTATGAGGGCCTGCATGGCTCTGGGGTTGGTCAGCATTGAGAGTGTTTCGGGACTCTGCATCTGCTCAATGACAAACATGACACAAGTGAACTCCAAAAGAGTCCTGAAAGATGATACTCTTTTTTTATCTTGTGCTAACAAGATAACAATTTGGATGTCTGCATAAATTCTCCGCAGAGCATTATAAACCCAGAGGGTGCTCTCAGGGTTTGTTAGTGCCCACTCCTGTTTATGGATCATCTCTCGCGTCATGCTGGATTCCTTGCCAACTCTATGGTATCTCAAAGGAAGAGAGGATTCAAATGACAAAAATAAAACCGTGAGAGCTGAGGTGGCCTAGGAGGAGAAGCAAGCTTCTGACTGGAATGATGGCTATCCTCAAGCCAGATTTGGGGACTCGAATTTGAGAATCTGACTCGAGTCCGACTTAAGTCACACATACAGTGACTTGAGACTTGTCCTCAAAAGACTTCAGACTTGACCTCGAGGTGCGGGACTTGTGAACAATGTTTATTTTTAGGAAACGTCTGATGAGCTTGCCGTTACTCCCCTCCCGGAGTTACCTATAACCTGCATACGTAACACGTAGTATCAGCTGCACGTGGCCACACGTGAGAGAGTACAACAAACACCAGCAGCTGATGTACCACTCATCACAAACTTTGGCTTTAAAACTTGATAAAACAAGATCCAAACAAAGAAGCGCTGAACGCAAAATAGGTTTGTAACCTGTGGTGAGTAAACAGGTTTAGCTCAGCACTGGCCATCTAACATTAGCTTGCTTCTTGCTTTAGCCACGACCTACGGGAGTTTGGGTCCGACTGTCGTTCGTTATGAAAAGATGATTGAGCATTTGTTTGCTTGCCAAACTTGTGGTGGTCGATTAATGTACTCATTTACATGTTAATTATTAATGTTGGCTGCAAACAGGTTACAGGTATATTTAGTTAACGTTACACTGGGTTTGAGAGTCTGGGGAATGTGTTGACTTACAGTCATTAATTGCTGTCATTAATTGCATTGCAGATTACATGGTTGTGCTCTGTAAGTGAAAAACAGGTTACAGGTTTATTGTTTATCATTTAACGTTAATGTTACAGTTTTATTTAATTAACGTTACACTGGGTTTGAGAGTCTGCGGGGTGTGTTGACTTACAGTAGTTAATAAGC